ACAGACAGACAGACAGACAGACAGACAGACAGACAGACAGACAGACAGACAGACAGACAGACAGAGAGAGACAGAGAGAGCATGCACGTGAGTTGGAAGGTAAGGGGAATGAAGGAGGAGGAGGAGCAGGAGGGAGGAGGGTTATGGCCGGCAGTGTAAGCACTCCCACAATTTGTCCATCCATCTAGAGACTTTTACCACAAGCTCGACAGGCGTCATAAAATCTCACTCCAGGAAGCGGCCGTAGTGAGTCCAAGATGTGAGGGCTGGAGGCTTGATGGAGTGGGGAGATGTTGTCTCTCTCTGTTTGCCCCTCTCTCTCTCTCTCTCTCTCTCTCTCTCTCTCTCTCTCTCTCTCTCTCTCTCTCTCTCTCTCAAGCTGACGTCTACAGATAGTCAACCACGATAACGGCCGCACTTCAGAATTGTGACAAGTACGCCACTATTTTCACGTTGTCAAAGGCAACTTCTGATGGTGAATATGACGTTGCTAAATCTTTTCTTCAGAATACAGAGACAGGATGAACTTCATTGACCCAATACCGACAGCGCAGTTTCATACACTAATTATTTTGAAACAAAATACTCGATTTCGCGGAGCGGAATATCCTATCTTAATATAACTTTCGAAATCTCTGCAGATCTATAATTGTCGTGTTTTCATAACACAGTTCGGGACTTTCCGGTAGATCATTTCGTCGGCCTATTTACTGCAGTCTACTATCTAAGTTCTCTGAAAACGTACATCGTTACAGCTAATTGGAAACACACTTTTACAACTAGATCTAAGAGGCCAGCCCATAATCTTTTTTTTAGAAATGAGGTTAAATGTTAAAAACAAGTTTGTGAGAGAAAAATAGTGACGTTTGAGATATTGTGGGCAGTTTCCCCTAAAAATATATATCACGGCCTCCGTGACCTTATATGTGAGAGATAAGATGATCTCAGATATCAAGAAATACGGGGAGGGGGGGGGGACAGGACGGTTGACCTTCCAGAGACCTTTTCGAGAAAGTGCAAGCTCATCTGGTATGGTTCAAACATTTGCCCATGAACCATATTTTGGGGAAAAATTCGAAAAATGATATTACAATAAAATGGCACGTTAACAATCAAGGACTAGGTTGAAAAGTTAGGAGTGGAAACGTAGGGAGTGACCTAATCACTCACGGACATGCACACACACACACACACACACACACATACACACACACACACACACACACACACACACACACACAAACACACTAGCACACACAAACACACACGCACACAGACA